TTTGCCAAATGCCCCCCTTGTAGTGACCCTTCAGTGTGTTCTGATAGTGGCAAGAGCAATTGCAATCATTCCATAATCCAGCCAGTGGCCGACCATCTGTGAACCAGGCTTCTACAACTGTTGGCACTATAAGGTTAAGTGGGGAAACTTTCACAGGATGATCTCAGCCCTGCATCTAGCTCTTCTTACCTGTGCTCTGGATAAGAGGGAGCTCTGAGTGCAAGTCTATCATACACCTCCCACTCCAAAATATGTGGGGGACACTTTTAGAAAAAAAGAAAGAAAATCACAGACGTAGTATATTCGTTATTTTCCTCATTGCTGGGACAGAGCACCTGGCAAGAGCAACTTAAAGAAGGACGGATTTGTGTAGGCTCAGAGTTTGCAGGGGCGCTGCGGTGGTGGGAATGGGAGGCAAAAGGATCCCTTGTCTCTACAGTCAGGATGTAGAAATGAACACCAGAACTCAACTCACTTTCTCCTTTTAATTCAGCCCGAGACTCCAGCCCCTGGGCTGGTCATACCCACATGCTGGGGTGGTTTCCTCTCTTTCAGAAAAGACCCTCGTAGACATACCCAGGAGTGTGTCTCCTAGGTGACTCCCAGCTGGCAATCAAGATGAACTGTTATTGCACATCTTGTTGCTGCTTGGAGCTAGGCTTGTGCTGTTGGCTCGATGAGGACTTTGTGCCAGGCGCTAGAATGGGTAGGGTTGCTTTGGAGGATGTGTGGAAGCTGGGCTTGAGATTCTTTTGGAAAATAATAGAAATAGAACAAGGGTTGGAGAGATGGTTCAGTAGTTAAGAGCGTGTACTGCTCTTGCAGAGGCCCCGAGTTCGATTCCTAGCAACTACATCAGGCAGCTTACAACCATCTGTAAGTAAAGCTATAGGAGGACCTGCCACCTCTGGCCTCTGTGAGCACCTGCGCTCAGTGCACACACTCACATACACAAATGTGCATTTGCTGCACGCACATACACACACACACATGCATGCACATACGCACGCACATGCATGGTTCATTAAACAAGACAGCAAAGCATTGCCAGCTGGTCTTATTAATCAATGAGCTGCAGGTTTAGTGAGAGAGCGTAATAGAAGATAATAAAATTTCTGGCCTCCACCTGAACATAAACAAACACACGTACATATACCACACACACATAATATATAGCCCCCCCACAAACACATGTGTATATACCATACACATACATGTATATATCACATACACACATACATATACTGTCATACACAAAACACATGTATGAATGCCATATACACATGGACATATACCATCACACATACACATGTACACATATGTTTAACGCACAAGCATACACATCTGTACGTAAAGCTATAGGAGGACCTGCCTATATACCATCCACACACACCTACCATAATATGTAATCATAATAAATACTTTGCCACGTGGACAAATTGCGTAACAAAAGCGACTTAAAGGAGGAGGGATTTATTTTGACTGAGGATTCAGAGTCCACCATGGCAGGGAAGGATGGCTCATCCTGTACTGCCAGGAGTGGGAAGCATCAGGCAGGGAGCAGACATGGATGTCCCCTTCAAGTCTCTCCCCGGTGACCAACATCCTAGGCCATGGTCCCACAGGTCCAACAACCTGCCAAAACAGTGCAACAGCTAGGGACTAGGTGTTCAAATGGGAGAATCTTCAGAGGACACTTCACATTCAAACCATATTAAAGTGTTCTTGAGTAAAAGAGAAAAAGAAATTAATTTCTATTAGGACAGAGCATGGGCAAGGCGGTGGTGGTGCATGCTTTTAATCCCAGCACTTGGGCGCCAGAAGCAGGCAGATCTCCAGGTTCAGGGTCAGCCTGGTTACAGCGTGAGTTCCAGGATGTGGAGAAACCCTGTCTCAAAAAACCAAACTGAAAGAAAGAAAAATATAAGTGGAAAGTATAGAGCACCTCAAAAAAAGTAGAAATTAAAATGGTAGCAATATAAGAAAAAATTCACTAACCTCGCTGGTGAACAAAGAATTATCAGTTGAAATTAAAAAAAATAATTATAAGTTGAAATAATTAAATGCGTAGTGGGAGGGAGTATAAATTTACATTTTCTTCCAGGGAGTGATTTGATAGTATGTGTGAAAAGCCTTAAATATAAATCATAATTTTTGGTCCAGTAATTCTAATTTTTGGCATTTTCTGATGGAAGTAATTAAAGTTATGCACAAATGATAATTATTGCTTTGGTTTTTATAATAGTGAGAAATTAGGATCACATTAAATGCCCAAATTAGGAAACCATTTAAATAAATTATAGACTATGCTGTGGAAAATATGCAGGAATTTAAAATATTGTTATAAAAGATACCTTACACAGCAGAGGGAAAGCTCATGGCACACAATATTACTAGGTGGGTTGAAGTAGGTGATGTCGCAGGATAAATCAACTTTCTCAGAGGAATTTTAAGTACGTGTGTTTAAGTCTGGAAGGACATAAGCCAAGGTGATAACCTGGGCATCCCATTTTCTGTCACCCAAATGGAAATACTTTAATTGCTTTCTTTATTAAAACAGGAGTAGAATATTATTGTACAAAATTCGTTAGTACAAAGAAGTAGAAAGTGAAAACACTCCATCCTATTCCACTAATTCAACATTTAAATATATACTTTGATTAATTCTTTGAGAATTTCTTACAATGTATTTGGATTGTATTCACCACCACCCCCGTTGTTCCCCCAATGCCTCCCACATCCTCTCCCTACCTTCCCCATCACCTCTCAGCTTCTTATCCTTTTCTCCTTAAAATAACCCGCTGGATCCAATCTGTGCTGTCTGAATATGCACAGGTGTGGGGCTGTACGCTGGAGCGTGGTTGACCTACCAGGAACCACACTCTTACAGAAGCCACCAACTGTCTATAGCTCCTCGGCTAGGGGGTGAGGTGAGGGCTTGTGGAGCCCTCCCTCCTCCGTGTTGACCAGTGTGATGTTCAGGTCTTGGGCAGAAAACACAGCTGCTGAGAGTGTGTGAGTACAATGATCCCGCTGTGTCCGGGAAACACTGACTCTTACAATCCTTCTGCTACCTTTTCCTCTGTAGTTCCTGAGCCTTACAGGAAAGATGCGAGATAAAGACATCCCGTTTACAGATGAACACTTACCCTCTACGCTTTGACCAGTGCTTCAGCCACCATACAAAGAAGCTTTTCTGACAAGAACTGAGAGCTGTATTACTCTAGGGATAGAGAGATAAGGGTTTAGAGGACAATTCGCTAGAGTGTCAGTTTAGCCAAACCATGGTGTAAAAAAAAATAGCAGGCTGACTCAAAGGCTAAGAGCACCCCAACTATGGGTTATTGGCCAGATTACAGCGCCGAGCATGTGTTTTCTATGGCAGAATAGACCAGAAATAGAAAGCGGTTGGTGACCCTCACAACATTCTTGCCACTATTGCACCCAGTGGCCCGTCTTCCACTCCGGTTATTCCTATACTTCACAGGCTTCACAGATGGGCAAGACTGTTGATCACTTCCTCCTCACCGGCCCCCAACCAGACTACATCCACCTTCAATGCTATGAAGCTAGCCAGTAGGGAGGAAGCATCCCAACTTGCTTTCTCCATGATCTATTACCAAAGTCCGTGGTGTCCTGAGCAATAGAGTCTTACCATCAAATTCTGATGAACAGCCAAGAGCAAAGGCAATAGTCTGTATTGTTTGGGGTATCTAACCCTGATCGTTTCTGAAGTGGTGGGTTTATGTGTGGTTTTATTTTTTGAAGTAATTAAAATGGCTTATTATTTTTTAAAGAACAGGTATTATTTGATAGCCTAATAACAACTGGTGTTTATAAAATATGTATGGAAAGAGGAAAATTTAAAAATATGCTCCCCTGTGTTTGCTGTTGCCTAACAAGAGTAAGGGAAATTATTATTTTATGTTTTATATGTTTTGCCTTTGCTTTGGTCATGTATTAGTTTTAAAATCTTAAAGTTTCAGCAAAAAGAAAGGAAGAAGGAAGGAAGAAAAGGGAACGACTCTGAAGGACTCTTTAAACTAGGAGAAATGCCACGTTACAACAGCCCATCACTCACTGACTTGTTTTATAGTTACCAAGTTAAATGTCTATCCTACATCAGGCTCTATCATTAGTCATGTGACACCATCATGAGACAAAATAAATGCAGTTCCCCTGAGCCTTCTGAGACTGTTTGGAGGACCCGACCCTCTGGGAAAGCAAGAGTAGTCTCACATAATTGCAAATTAAGAAAAGTGTAGTTTGTATTAGACAAGTGTCCTTGAGAATAATATCAAATATGAGTGCAATTATTTAAGAGAATGATTAAGAAAAGGGAATATTAGAAGGGCAAATAGATGAGAATATTTACTTGGGAAAGAGGAACAGAGAAGGAGAGAAAGAAAAATGACACAGAAGAAGTTCATTGTCTTTCTAAGACTGAGGTCTAGTTGGGCTGGGGTGTGGCTAAGTGGTAAAGTGCTCGTCTGGCGTGCACAAGGCCCTGGACTCAACCCCCTGGGATTGAAAAAGAAAGATGAGAAAGAGGGAAAGGAAGGAAGAGAAGGAGGGAGAGAAAGAAAGAAAGGGTATGAAGGAGAGAGGAAAATGAAGAAAAGAGAGGAAGGAGAGAGGAAGGAAGGGAGGGAGGGAGGGAGGGAAGAACTAAAGAAGGATGGAAGACAGAAGTTAATTGGCACATGACTGGCTGTGTCTGGCACATGGCTGGCTCTGATGACGTGAGGATTTAAGGGAGCTGTGTTTAAGGCAGAGACGTTGAAACTTGGACTTGTTATTTTAATGGTAACTGGAGACTTACTACAAATTCCAAACTTCTTTGTGAATTAATCAGTGTCAACAACACAATCCATTAGCTGGTTGTAGCACCATGTATTAAGTCTTAGAAAGCATCAAAACTCTTCTAATACCCGTGAAGGATTTCATAGAAGTACTTTTTGGTCCAGGTGTGTATTCAAAGAAACGGCTTTGTCTTTCAGCCTTAAATGAACCCACCATAGACTATGGCTTCCAGAGACTGCAGAAAGTCATCCCAAGGCACCCAGGGGACCCTGAGAGGTTAGCCAAGGTAAGGCTGGCTGCTGGGAATTGACACATGAACATCTTTTGGTAGACACACAGAAAAATTCAGACGAAACCATTTGAAATCAAAATCATTTAAGTTCCATTAAAATTAAGTAAGCCTTGAAGCTGGCTATGCTTTAGATAAGAATAGGAGCATAAGGTTTCTGCTAATTTTGAAATATATTACGTTTAATATCTGAGGGAATGTGAAGTCTGAAAGTTTGGTCTCATGAAATAGACATGCTACAAGAATAGCCAGCTTATAAAACACTGCTAACTGTGTAAAGACAAATATTTGCACCCTTGCTTAAAAGTGTGAGTTTCACTCCTGTGTATTTAAGCAGGATTTTTATTTAGCACGAACCGCTGAGAATCGTCAATCTACAGGCAACCATTCATGGAAGGCCTACTGTGTACATAAGAATTTAATGATGATAAAATGCCCCCTTTCAATGAATGGGCTCATTTGTGAATGAACTTGTTCAGAAAACTTCACCTTAAACCTGGCTCGTGACATCATCATTCTTTACCTAGAAAAAAAGCCCATTTAGTGATTCCATTTGACTAAAGAGAAACTGCCAATTTTTTTCACATTTATAAACTGCATGTGCTTCCAAAGTGCAGTTTATAAAATGACTTGTTCTTTATTCTTTATTTGTATAAAAAGCCAAATGCCAGTGGTTTCAACAACATACCTTTTTTTTTCCTCCTGGAAATACTCGGCCCCATGAAGTCAGATGATACCTGGACATCTGTTGAGTAACAATTTAAAACATCGTAAATAAAACATAATACAGAATGACAACAGCAAAATCCCTAGAGAAAACAGGAGGTGGGAAAGGGAAAAAAGGAGGGGAGCAATTAGGGATTGCTAATTCTTTCTGGTTAAGGTGAACAAGAGGAAATACCATCAAAAGAATTCATCTTTATCAGAATAAAATTTTGAGTAGGTATTGGCAAGGGAATTTCAGTGCTTTGCCAACTCCTTGGCAAGCAACTAAAGTCAGGCCCGTCAATCACTTAAAGATTATCTGATTAATTAAGAGTACCAGGATTTTTAAATACAGGGACCTCAGAGTTGTTTTCAATAGGCTAGACAAGACTATCAATTTTAAGTGACTTTGGCCTCGGTTTGGTGGGTGTTTTGAGTAGCATAAATCATTGTGGAGCCATTTCATAGTGGTCCATTTCTATAACTACCCATCTGTAGAGTCTGTAAATGCGATTAAATCTTATTCATCAAACCCAATATCAAATCCAAACTTCACGGTCATTACGTTTGGAGGCAATATGTGGACTTTCTGTTTTCATCTATAATTTTCCAGTTTGTCATTTGGGGCTTTGTATTTGATTGCATCCACCCTGTCTTTTCTTTCTCAGGAAATGCTATTGAAAAGAGCCGCGGACCTAGTGGAAGCCCTGTATGGCACACCGCACAACAACCAGGTTAGATACGTGCGTCTGACACTCTGTTGCGTTTGACTTTTGGTTCTGGATACAGTGCTCACCCCAACGTGCCTTTCTGTAGGACATCATTTTAAAGCGTGCCGCAGACATTGCAGAAGCCCTGTACAGCGTCCCCAGGAACCCCAGTCAGATTCCAGCTCTCTCCAGCTCCCCAGCTCACAGTGGCATGATGGGGATCAACTCTTACGGCAGCCAGCTCGGAGTCAGCATCTCAGAGTCCACACAAGGAAATAACCAAGGTACTGACTACCCTTCTGAACCTCAGAATCCAAATCGAGCTTCTCCATCAAAGGCCACTTCTGCTGGGATCGGAGGAGTTAGAGGGCACATCGTAAGCTATCCAATGGCGTACGTGCTAGGTAAACCCCACTATTAGAGATGGGTTATTTAACCGTTTCAGGTAGACGGTTATTAGAGTCTGAGCTCTCTGGAAACTAGATAGATTTCTTTAGCCAGAAGGTAAAATTGATTATCATAGGTTTCAAAGAGTTTAAGCATATGGAAATGAGGCTTACAGCTATTCACTGAGTTCATTTTATAATGATGCTGTGTGATAATGAGATGGAATGAGAGAGCGAGCTGATGGCACCATCGTTGTTCAGTCCATGCAACTCTTGGCAAACAAGAGATTTGGTCCAGTTTTAGTTGGTAATTTCTATTGTACATTTTCTCGTATATTTTATACCTGAAGTCTATCATATGAAGATCTGTTACAGTGAGGTTGATGTTATTAAGAGACCCACCTAAGTCTGTCATAAACTGTTCCGTAAGAAAAATAATTTTTCCAAATAATGTCCTTAATCTTAGGTATTTGTTTCTAATTTTATTCATCCACTATGGTCTATATATTAAATTGTATTTCATTTGATAATTTAGACTGTTTTATAATTTGTTTTGTGTTTGTTTATTGGTCAGTTGGTTTAAATTTTTTGAGGCTCAGACAAGCTCACGTAGTCCAGGCTGGCCTTAAACTCACTATGCAGTCCAGGTTAGCTTTAAATTTGTGGCAATCCTTCTGCCTCAGATTCTCTATTGCGGTGATTATAAATGTGAGCTCTCATGCCCAGCATTCTTTATAAAAATTTATATATGTACATCTATAGAGAAAGATATGCGTATGTATGTAATATATGTGATGTAAATACATATACACCATATCTATCTATCTATATAATCAATCTACAAATATTTCAGTGTTGAGAACTGAACCCCGGGCCTTCCTGTGCTAGGCAAGCACTCTACCATTGAGCTGTATTACTAGATCTAATCAGTTTTAGACATTGTCATCCCCAGAGTTTCTCTGAGGACAGAGTGAAGCTGACGCTGTGCCAGGCTTTCAGAGTCCTGACAAACTCTCATCCTTCATGTCGTACATGGCCTCGATGCCTGTCCTTGAGTGCTGACAACTCAGAGCCCTGGATCGACATAACATAATTCACTGAGCTCCTCAGTGCTTTCTGACTGAAAACACTCCCCAGCCCATCCAGAGGATGGTGATGACTTTGAAGTACCATTTCCAAATTGCTCAGCAGGACACACATGGCCCCAGAAACGTTGCTAGGACACCCTGCTCCACCCCCAGGAAAGATCACATGGTGTGCTACATTTGCAAAATTCTAGATTGGCAAGTTTTGAGCAGGATATTAATTTCTTGGGTCCTTTATTTGACAATCTTAAAAAAAAATGGCTTCGGAGCACAGCATCTGCCCACCTTTGTTTGGCCACTGAATGACGTTCTCGGTGGTGGCCATTAGTATCTTATAGAGCTCCAATGTCCATGTCCAGTGAGTTTACGAGCTCCGCAGAGAGAGGGGGCACTAGAGATGCCAAGGGGAGTGCGCTGGTTATGGCACGGCGGTGCACAGCTGTAGTTCCAGTGCTCTGGAAGTGCAGCAGCAAGAAGGTCGAGACTTCCGAGTCTGTCTGGGTTGCTTGTGCTCCAAGCCAGCCACAGACACATAGCGAGAGCCTGTCTCAAAAATCAAGTTATAAAATAGAGCAAAACAAAACAGCACGAGGCAAAATTAGTAGAAGGGAGAGGGAGCATCAGAGGTGTGACCTGTGCAGAGCAAAGACGTTAACAAAAGGGGCTTAAGCTCTGGTGTTCTGTAGCATGGCCAGGTGACAGTAGTTGACGATGGTTTATCGCGAATCCCAAATAGGTAATAGAAATTTTTGAATGCTTCCAGTACCAGGAAGTAATAAATATTTGAGGGGCTCAATGTGCCGCCAACCACCCCAATGTGATCATTACCCATTGCATGCCTATGTAAAAAAAGGGGGAGTGGACAGTGACTACCTGGCAACTAAAAACAAAGTCCTGCAAGCAAGCTCTGCTTCCCGCTGTTGCTTGGCCGTGGTGGCATTATGATCTGGATGTGGACAAGCACCAGCCACATTTGGCCCGATGGTGGGTACTGCTTTGTTTACCTGGTCTGTTTCTTCTGTTGTCAAGGATACATTCGCAACACAAGCAGCATCTCCCCGCGGGGCTACTCCTCCAGCTCCACGCCTCAGCAGTCTAATTACAGCACCTCCAGCAACAGCATGAACGGCTACAGCAATGTTCCTATGGCCAACCTGGGTGTGCCAGGATCGCCAGGCTTTCTGAATGGCTCGCCCACAGGCTCCCCATATGGAAGTAAGTCACCTTCACCATCCTTCTGGCACTGACACCGTAAGCCTCCCTGCAAGGTCTCACCTGCCAGCCTTTTAGGGGAGAGCTATGTCCCACATGGTATGGGAGACGTCTCATTTCTTTACGAAATGCTCTTCCTATCTTTTGTTCTTTTCCTTTGGCTGGACTTGAACTTCCAGTCTATGCAAGTCCTCCTGGGGAAGGAAGAGGGAACGAAAGGATTCCTTTATACAAAGTACATGTGGCTTGTGGGTGTGGAGGAGAGGAATGGAGATTTCAACTGGGCTAATAGTGTGCCTTTTCACTGAGCATTTTCTTTTCTTTTAAATGATTTATTTATTCTTATCTTATGCATTGGTGTTTTACCTGCATGTATGTCTGTATGTATGAGGGTATCAGATCCCAGGGAACTGGAGTCATAGACACTTGAGCTTCCATGTGGGTGCTGGGAATCGAACCCAGATCCTCTCGGTAAGAGCAGCCAGTGCTCTCAACCATTGAGCCGCCTCTCCGGCCCCTTCACTGGGCATTTTTCATATGCACTAGTTCATTGCAGCCACATGTTACAGGCAAAGCAGCTTGTTGCTGCAGCTTCCCTGCTGACCCACTACTACATAGCTAGGATTTAACAGTCCTTGAATTGATGGCATCCCGTTCCTGTCACACACCTAGACACTAACCTAGTCTGTTAGTTTCTTCTATAGTTTCTCATAATCTACTCTACACTGGTCACACCCACATTCCATTATCCTCTTATCCCCAACCCCTCCCACTAAAGCCTTTTTGCCTTAGAAGTCAGAGGGTATTGAGTTTGTTTGTGGACCATTGCGTTTACTTTGGATAGCTCGCTTGAGGGAGGGAGAGTTTTTTGATCAAGGGTAACTTGCCAGTGGCTCTATTGCTGGGGAACCATTACCCGCCTATAGCTCCTCAGGGAGGAGTGGGACCCTGAACGGGACATCTGTATTGTGCTCTGTTTGACTTTGTGACATGACTCGGTCCTCCATTAAGCACCTCCAGAGAGATGGAAGTTGACTGTGTGGAACAGCTTGCCGGATTGGAACAGAGCCTCTTAGCCTTAATCTATGGCCTAAGCAGCAAAGCCAGTGCCTTGGGAAGTTGTGAAAACCCATTTGGGTTGCTTTGGGAGCTAAGCTGGGAACTTACACAATGGTCCCTGGAGCCTGAAAGAGTGTGTGTTTTTCGAACCTACTCAGGGAATACTTGAGGCCAGGGGACATGCCGATGCTGAGAAGCCAAGTGATGGAGTAGAGCGCTCTTGAAACGTTGGCTGTTGTCACAAGGCCTGTCCTCTCTTCACCCAGAGTGGCTCCCTTGTGCCAGAAACAAGGACGTGTCAAGGACAGCACACAGCCCTGTCAGTTACGGCTCAAGCAGCATGTGTTGGGAGGTATTTCTCACTGCCTTCTGACCCTTGGTTCCTGGGCCCACATATTCTGGTGTTATTTCTGAGCTATGCTTTTAAGGCATATAATCAATATTACCCAGTATGGTGGGGACACAGGACCAAGCCACCAAATGCAGCACAGACTTTCTTCTAGTATAACTAACATGTGTCCTGTGCGTGTTTCTTGTCACATGACCTAGACTCACTGGAACAGAGCAGCTTATGGAAATAGGTTGGCATTGATTGGTTTGTTTTTAATTCTACTTAAAAAAAAAAAAACTCAAAACTTTCTTGTTCCCAAAGCATGCGGTGGAATGACAATAATAAAATGGGCTGTATGAATGTATAATATGGGAACCAATGGGAAAGCAAGGCAAGGGAGGAAAAAAATGTATTTAGAATAACTGGATTAACCTAAGCATAGGCACTGATGCCGTTCTATGGGAAGAGCTGTTGTTTCTCAGCTAACAAAATGCTATTGAAAATATCGTTTCCTGTGCCATGCCTATCTGTTTATGACCTGATTAGGGAACTCAAAAAGCATGGGGACAGTTTAGCTGCTGCAACCAGAGGAGGTTTGTCACACACGTCAAGCCTTGTGTGACGACGAGGCTCTCCCTTTAACAGACCCACGAGGAGCGTGATGGCACAGGAGAGGGATACCACAGAAACAGAGCTACGCGCAAAGAGTTATTATCACCACTTTCTCTTTTAAGAGTAGAGGAGTTGATCAATGACCAGCTCCAAGAGTCATAGTAGGTAAAGGGATCAAATGGGAGACCACAACACCTGGCACCAGACTCGCAATGCTGGACTTTAAAATTATTCAATGATATGAAGTATTGAGACCACTTACAATGTATCCTTAGGCTGAAGCAGATAGAAGTGTTTTCATCTGACCATCACTTAAATTATTTCATTAAATTTATTTTACTTCTTTGTGAGTATGTATGTGTGCACAGACACGCGCACACGAGTGCCATGACACAGGTATGAGGTCAGAGGACAAGGTTCAAGAGTTGGTTCTCCTCTCCCACATCAGTCTCGGGGTGTCAGGCCCCTGTATCCAAGGAGCCAGCTTGCCAGCCACCATCTGGCCGTTTTTTGATGTTTAGAAATGGCAATTTCTCACAGTTCGGTCAGTTGCTTGTGTATATGCAAGGCTGAGCCTATGAAACAGCCGTTTTGTAGATTTTAAATAGTTTGCTAATACGTGCACTCCGCAGTGCATCCTGTGAAGTGAGCAGTGTGTGTGTGGCGGGTGTTCAGCTGGGTATTATTTTCTTCATGTTTCTTACAAGATAATTCATCAAGGACTTCCGCATTCTGCCCACTCCGTCAAGTGACTTCAGAAAGGCAGTTCTTACACCCCATATCTTTAAGTCACCCATTCAAATAGGAAGGCAGGATGGTGTCCTGCCCAACGGGGAGGAGCCCTCAGGGGATACCGCCATTACCCCTGCGGTCCTGAAAGTGACCGCTTGCACCTTGAGTTTTGGAGGGAGGGTCTGAGGGAATTGCAGAGTGTGAATGGGATTCCAAATGGCGCCTTCGTTACGCTCAGATTCGGCTGTTGTAAAATCCCACATCCCCAGTGGAGTTCATTACGATAACACCTGACCTATATTTCTAACCAGCGAGGTCTTCACTTCTCTGGGAAATATTCCGTACAGCCCAGGGGAAAAGATTTCGTCAGTTCAATTGCTTATGTCTGAAAACACAACCCTACGTGGGGTTTTTTTTTTCACTTTTTTTTTCTTTTTCTAATGAGCCTGATGTGGCTGGACCATGCCATAGGGCACTCGCCAGAGACATTAAAACAGCAATAGAGGCAACATTCGCTCTCCCTGTCAAGTTTGCCTTGCATCCCAGCCAACACAGAGCCCTGCATCTTTCCCTGCTCACACTCCTTCAAAAACGGCCAAACAGATGTTTTCCCAATCTTACACAGAAACTTCACTTCCTGGCGGTGGCCATGTGTGCCAAGTTCTAGCTCGGCGCGAGTTTTTTTTTTATGCCTGGATGCTAAGTCCCCTGACAATAGGGGGTTCTAATGAGATGCTGACAGACCCCCTCGAGTGCCAGCAACTGCCTTGGCTGGATGCGGATGCAAGGGAGGGTCTGTGAGTTCCAGCAGGGGTTAAGCTGGCCTATCAATCCTTGTAAGAAGAAAAGTGATTTTTCCTTAACTCCCAGGGTCACAGAGATTTCTGGGCCAGGCGTGCTTGCCTTTGCTTTGGCCCCTAGCCACACATGGGAAGGTGTCCAGAGGCACTCTCCATTGGAAGGCTGTGTGACCAGCTTTCCCCGAACGGTGTACTCCACTGTCCCCAAACATGGGCTACTCAACAAGCCTGCAACACCCATGGGGACCATGTCTTCCAAGCAGAATAACCATCGAGCCAACCCAAAGTATGGGACGGAATCCACTCAGGCAGGAAGCCAGCCTTCTTCACTGGCAGTCCTAGACCATGCCCCAGGCTTTGGTATTTTTGTATTTTCAGAAGCAAATAAGAAGACATTTTTCTATTGCAAAGCATTAAATGACTGTTAAGGAAAATGCCAAACATAGGGTAATAGTTTTTGAAAGAGAGAAGACTCCTTCCCTGACAAAAGTAAGCTCAACCGCTTGCCGTGTCTTAATTGAATTTCTTTAGTAAAGGAAAACCAAATTCTACGGTAGTAGAATCCTGACTCTAGACGTTTTGAAAAGCTTGTATAGGCCCCAAAGAAAGAAAGAAATGACATGTCATATCTGTGCAGGTATAACCACTGTGTTTTGTTTTGGTTTTGGCAGTACTGTGGGGTAAAACCCAGGGCCTAGGGCCTGCTAGACAAATGCACTACTACTGAATGAGATCCTCAGCCTAGCAACCATTAACTTTGAAAATACAGCCGTGTGGTCATGACAGAAACACTTTGGATACTGTGAGTGGGAACACGCAGGAAGGCACACGAAAGGAGGGTGGAAGAAAGGCAGACAGATGACTAACGCCACAGATGGAACACCTGGCTCTAGGAAGCCCTTTGGCGATACAAACTTAAGTCCTGAGACTGGAGAAAAGGAATTAGAAGTAATATTTGCCTTAAAAAGTCATTACTGGGGCTGGGGTTCCGGCATAGCAGGTAAGAGTACTTGCTTTGCAAGCATGGAGACCTGATTTCAAATCCCCAGAATCTAGTAAAAACAAAACAAAACAAAACAAAACAAAACAAAACTGTCTATGGTAGTATGTCTATAACCCCAATACTTTGAGGGGGGTCAGATAGAGACAAGAGGAGGATCTCTGGGGCTTTCTTGCTACCCACTAACCACTTAGCTTCAGGTTCAGTGGAAGACTTATCTCAAGGGACTGACGAAGAGAGAGATAGAGCAAGAGGAAAGATATCATTATCTGGGTCCATGTATGCATAGACATTCACCTCTCCATATACATGAGTACATACATTACAGTTGTCTCTGCCTCTCTTTCCCTCCCTCTCCCTCTCATTCTCCCTTTCTCTTTCTCCTTCACCTTCTCCTCTCCCTCTCCTCCTCCTCCTCTCTCTCTCTCTCTCACACACTCACAAAGTTATCACCACCCTGCTTTTCACA